GATTATAACGATTAATTTTAATTGCGAATTTCTCAATAAATTGATTTTATTCTGATGCATATTGGTTTTATTTTGGAACCTTAGAACGTATCCCCTATGATTCCATAGTAATTATCATTCCATATCCACGGTTTCTGTATTCGCGGCATATTTATGGAACCCCGCGAATAAAGAGCTTTTACTGTAACTTAAATACTAAATGCTTCCAGATAATATATTTAAAAAGGGGAATAATGAGAATGTAATCTGATTATTCGTGGCAGCATTGCGTTTCTGGATAGCTTTCGATGTTTCTATGGTTTCAAAGAGGTCTAACTTTTTTCCTTTATTATAATATTATGCAAGAGTTTAAAATTATTAAGATACATGTTATGATTGCTTAACGATTGGGAAAAGTAGTATGACTGTTTCTCTTGTAATAGATGTAGATGTTCACTTCTTTTAAATTTAATGACTGCCAGTTTCTCAAATGTATTTATTCAATTTATTTGATAAACTCCGTTTTTGTTGAATAAAAGAAATTCGAAGTGGTCTGTATTCTGTCGAAGCTGCCAGACACGGATCGCGATTTCGATTTTGTTGGAACGCATCAGCGCGTCGCAGATAGTTTCGACAGAACACAGACCAATTTTACCTGATGTCTTAACAGCGCGTTTTACAAAATCCCACAAATGGCGCGGTAAACGCCATCTGTAGTACAATCCTACATTTTAGGAACACGTATTCTCAACAAGTTCCATTATGGTAACGTGCCTACCACGTAGTGGTGAGCTACGCCGGGATCCGTTTCAACCATTTATTAAAATGGAACTTGTTGAGAATACGTGTTCCTAAAATGTAGCATCGTACTACAGATGGCGTTTACCGGGCCATTTGTGGGATTTTATAATCCGTTGGTCTTGTAGTAGATCCATCTTATTCCCATTATTTAAAGGTAGCGTGCTCAAATTTAACTTGTGCTAATGTTTAACTTAATATAATAACATAATTTATTGCATATACGTGGTAAAAAATTAATGAATTGATATTGTTTATCGTTCTTTTACATTCGGAAAGTATAGAAAAAATAAAGTTGTGAAGTAAAGCAGCCATTTTCTTATCTTAATCATATTCACTTTATTTTGTTTTTATTTTACTACTCACCGTCTCCTTGAAAACAATTGTATCCGTCCATTTCACATTTATTTGGGAAAGTTCTTTTATTGCCTTTTCCATTGATACCACAAACAGGTTGGTAGACGGCCGCACAAATTGGACAAGCTTGGTCTTTTTCTAATGATGCTGTTTCACCATAACTCCAGAATTGAGCGAAGAAAACGACTTCAGTAAAATAATGCAAAATTATTGTCGTTACAGTTCTATCAGGTACAAACAACAAAAATAACGAATAAAGAAATTACGTTACCTAAAAGTAACGCTGAAAGTGTCTTCATATTGCTTCTTGATAAGAGAGGACCTATAAAGTTAAATGTTTACTATTTTCATCTAACTCGACTTGGTGAAAACCCGCCGTTGCATCAAGTTTTGAAAAAATTTTCCCTTTTCTTAACCTTGCTAAAGACACGTCAACTTTTTTCATTGGAAAAACTGTTCGCTTAACGTTTTTATTTAACATTGTATAATCGCAACATAACCTTATACCTGACCCTTTTGGAACGCAAACAATAGGACTACACCAATCTGTTGGAACATTTACTTCTTCTATTACATCTAGTTCTACCAATCTGTCCAGTTCGGTTTTCAATTTATCCAACAACGGCAGGGGGACTACACGTGGCGCATTTTGACAAAACGGATTTGCATCATCTTCCAAAATTATTTTGCATTTATTTTTCATTTTACCTAAACCATTAAATAATTCCGGATATTTCTGGAAAGGATTTATGCTTGATTTTCGGCTGCTAGCACTATTCACATGATTAATCTGCCCATAGAACATAGAACTCTACTGGCCAATGGCAATTACTTCCAGAACACCTTTCCCTTTTTATTTAACACAAAGTACATTACAATTACAAACAAGTAGTTTTTTCTTAATCTAAATTATCTATGTCTATATTTACATAATCTTTCATCCATACCGGTTGTCTTCTCACTCTTTCCGGTCTTACTACATTTTCAACAACTTGTTCTCTATTATTACGCTGAGCTCCACCCCGTTGTTTATCAATAATTTGTTCCCTACCAATGTCACGAGCTACAGCTTCTCGTTCGTCTTCCGCCCTTTCTGCGTTATTTTCTGCAAAATTAGGAACCCCATTGTTGTCTTGTACTACGCTAGTTGCAACCGGCCAGTTTGATCTCAACCCTGAATGTTTAACCGCAGATTCTATATTACTATTCAACTTATATGGAGCTTCGATCAGGTGCCATCGATTTCTCCGATGTAATCGATTATTATAACCTATTTTTAACAAATACGAGTTTGGTAGGTCGCTTCGCTGGGCTACTGTACCGTATCTCCGTAGGTCTATAATCCACACTGCATCGCCTACATTTAACTGTGACATATTTCTCGACCAATGTCTTTTATTATAAATTTCGCTTTGTTTGGTTTTACTACTACTTTCCCTAGCTTGTACTTCGCTGTCTTTTATAAAAGTCTTTAGTTTACTTGGAAGAAATGGAACCGTGGATCGTATTTGTAGTATCTATAAGTTATAATAGTTATAGATAGAGGGATATAGCAATTTCCTCCTTCCTTAACGCGAGCCTTCAGTTTCCGCCTGTGGCATACGGTAATGTACGAGCCTACAATAAAGAGCTACGGTGTTGACTTAAAATTATTATTGTCTTTTATTCACATACCTGCCCTCAAACATTACAGTATTTTTCGCGAAAATAATAATTCTGCTGTACTATACCCATTTCCTAGGGGAGTCGTACGATATGCCAATAAACCCAAATTTACATCTTCTGATTTGCTCAAAATCTTTTTCGCTACCTTAACCATCGCTTCAATCTGACCGTTACTTTGCGCATAGTGTGGAGAACTAGTTATATGTTTGAATCCATATTGTTTGGCAAAATTACTAAATCGTGTCCTAAATTGTGGTCCATTATCGCTTCTCACTACTTCCGGAATTCCGAGTCTTGCAAAAATATGTTTGCAAACTTCAATAGTCTCTTTTTCTGATAAGTGTTTCAATGGAAAAACTTCGAAATAACGGGAATAATAATCTGAAAGAATTAAATACCATTTTTCTAATTTAAACAAATCTAGCGCGACTTTTTGCCACGGTCTTTTTGGAAAATCCTCTGAAACGAATTTTTCTTTACTATTTATTCNAATATCACAGCTTCTGGAATGACAAGTTGGAGGTTACTGCTAATAGAAGGTGTGACTAATAAATGTGCGGAGCTTGCAGGAGGTGGTAGGGCACTATACGTAAAGCAGGAAAATCAAATAGATGCCACGTCCAACAGTTCATTCGAAACTTTCGAGAGAAACGTATTTGAAAATACATACCGGGAAAGGCCAGTCTGACCCTGTTAATCACGCATTCACTGTTTTTGCACTTACAATTCTGCATGTATCAAAGATTATTGATTTTTGTATATACGTAAGTTTATGCAGTTTCGACTCGGCTAGGCTAGCACATAATATTTTAGGTATAACGCCTATTGATGATATTATTATTGGAATAATTCGGAATGTGTTCTGATTCCACATTTCTTTCATTTATCAGCCAAAGGAATATATTCCTGAATATTGTTAATACGTTTTTGTTTAAGATTTTCGGTGTTTGGCACAGCAACGTCTTTTAGTTAGGTTATATTGGTTTCTTCTTAGTGTGATGTCAGGTCTGTTATGATTATGTCGCTTTTCCAATAAAACTTGACTATAAATTTTTCTGATACATTTTGCGGTTTGTATTTGTAGTGTAGTTTAAACTTTTTGATTAACATTAACAGTGAATGTTTCCGTAGAAAAAAAGAAACCTAAAAATAAAATTCTAAATTATAACTTACAAACTACTTAAATAACAATGATAATAATACAATAAGAAGTATAATTCAGTGACTGTCTAATTTTCAATGTTACTAAATTAAATTTTAATTCATTTTAGTTTTAAGTAGTCTAGATATTAGGAACAATCGAATTTTTCAATTTATTTTTCCTTTGGTTTTAGTTAGGAATTTTAGTTCATTTGGAAAATTATTAAATATCTTTGCAGCAATTAATTGAGCTTATTGTTTTATTTCTGTCTAGCATTTGTATTACCTAATTTAAATTTAGTATTACTATTTTTTTTTTGTTTAGATTATGCTCGAGGAGGGGAAATCTTTAAAAGACACCATCTGAAGGGAGGTAGTGTCGGATTCTTACCGACTGATTGCAGCATTGGAGAGAGAAGGTAAATCGGTTTCAATCAGAATTTGGGTGTTTCTGATGAACCAGGGGTAGTTCAGTGCGGAGCGAATAATCCGCATGTATGTACCTTGCAAAGGTTTCAGGCGATGGGGAAGAGCGCAGCCCCAGACGGGAATGGCATGGGAGCAAATGCTCCTGATAATTGCGTTAAACGCACGGATTTTGGTCTGTTGGGAGATGGTGTTATTACGAAAGAAAGGTTTAAGTGCGATGAATGCACCCAGAGCCTTGTTACAGGTCGCTTTAATGTGGAGCCGTCAGTTTAGGCATCTGTCTAAGACGACGCCTAGGTAGGTGACGGAACTGCCCCAATTAATGGGGCGGTTGTTGACAATGATGGAGGGAGGTTTTCGGAGCCTACGAGAAAAGAAGATTGCCTTCGATTTGGTCTCGTTAATGGAAAGTTTCCATTTCCGATACCAGTTTATGAACTGGGGTAGAAAACTATTGATTCTTGCTGTGCATTAGGGAATGGTACTTCAAGAGTTTATGATAGCAATATCGTCAGCGTACAGAGCAGTCAGAATTGAAGTGTGGGAGGGCATGTCCGCGCAAAACAGGTTAAACAGAATAGGGGATAGTTTGGAGCCTTGTGGGACACTGTCTGTGACGGGTTAACTAGCAGAAAGAGCGAGCAGAGCCAACGCGGACCCGTAGACTTCTGTCTGTGAGAAACCCCAACTAGAAAGTGTGGGATGTTAAGGGCGATGAGTTTGGAAATAAGGCCTTCGCGCCAGACTCGGTCGGCGATGTGTTCGGTAATACGAAGAAGTTGGTGTCCGGTGCCGTGTTGCCTGCGGAATCCGTGTGGAAAATCAGGGAGAAGGTTGTTTTGCACCACGTGGTCTAAGAGCCGATTGAGAAGGATGGATTCGACTACTTTGCTCAACGAACTGAGCAGGCTGATGGGCCTGTAACTTGAGGGAGAGCTGAGCGGCTTCCGTTTTTTGGGGAGACAGATGACAGTGGCTTCTTTCCAGACCAAAGAGAAATGGTGGAGCCGCATGATGGCGTTTGTGATGTTGCACAGTGCGGTTATGTGCTTTGGTGGCAGGGCTTTAAGGACTCCGTTAGCAAATCCGTCAACGCAAGGGGCTTTTCTCTTTTTCAGAGATCGGATAATGAGATAGATTTCGCGTGAGGATGTGTGTCCTAATTCAGGGGAACGGAGTTCTAAGAGACGGCTTTGGTACGCTCGTGAATGTCGGCAAGATCCACTGGGCTTGGTAGTGGGGAGCACTGGAGATATAAAGAGTCTAAAAAGACTGCAGCTTTTTCTTCGTCTGAGGAATAGGTGGAGCCGTTCTGTTTTAGTGGCGGAAGATGTGGGGCTCGGTTACGAAGAGAACGGATCACTGTCCAGGTGCTTCGGGGGTGTTTTTCTGCCTGAGCGATATAGTCGTCGAAGGATGCGCTGCGGAATTCGGTGAGACGAGTTCTTAGTCCTCGTTGAAGGGCGTTTACCTCTGCACGGTGGGCGGGGATGCGGTGTTTATTCAGCAGATGTCGCCTTGTTTTTCCTCTTAAGGAGGTCAAGGATGTCTGCTGGGAGGGTTTCGTCTTTGGTGGGCGTTGGGCGGGATGTGGTGGAGAGCTCGATTGCGCTGGTAATCTCGTTTGACAGGAGATTCACAGCTTCGTCAAGTTCCGCTGTTATGCGAATTGGAATGCACTTGAATGAAGATGTTTCAAGGGTGTAACGAAGGTGAAGCCAATATAGAGACGTGGTTGGGTTTGGGGGGTTGAGGATTGGGCGGCCGACTTCGATAAGTGCTGGAAGGTGGTCAAAACTTAATGCGTCTATGACGATAGGATCGGCGGAAAGTGTGACATTTTTCGTGGTGAAAATGTCAAGAATGTCAGAGGATTGATGGTGGGGGGTAGGGAGGAATGTGGGGTCAGATGGTGCTTCAACTGTGAGATTGAAGTGAAGAATTTTGGCTGGAAAGGAGTTACCTTTAATATTTGTTTGTCGACAGCCCCAAGAGACGTGTTTAGCGTTGAAGTCGCCTGCAACGATGGTCGGAGCGCCTGGGGGGAGTAGAGGAGGGAGTTCAGAAAGGTCTCTGTCCGAAGGAGGGG